AGGACAAGCTGATGGCATAAGATGTAAGTACAACTCCTCCGGTTTCATATGCAAAAAACAATTATTGCGCTAGCTCACGTGGTTGCAGAGCTACCGGGATTTAAAAATAGTTACGCAAAACGGAGCGTGCTGCTCCGACCGGCTTTACAGGGTTAAAGGAAGCTGCACTGAGTTGCTGGTTTTGTCTCTGAAACAGGCGGAGAGTTTCTCTGCTTTTATATTTCACATTTATTCTCCTCCAGGATGTGGAAGGGTCTCTATAACCACGCTGAGAAATCGACGCCTCCCCGCCAGTCACCTGCCGACTTCCTGTCTGCCAGGAGGGAGGAGTCCCAGCAGCTGGAAGAGGAGCTGACCAATCACCAGGAGGTACCGCCAGGAGGAACCGCCCACCACCACCACCCGGGCTCCAGACAAGGCATACAACACACGACACGCCTGTTATGACACCAGCACAGATCGTTAACTTCAGCTTCGCTGCTTAAACTGCGACCGTCTACTTTTTAAAACTTTTTACCCCAAAAATTAAAAATAATTCAGCAGTTATTAAACCAATTTTAAAAAATCTGCAGAAGTTTCTAGATTAAATTTTTTTTAATGTCTTATGTTGGTAGCAAAGACTGTATATAAAAGAAGGAAACTGGCTCTATATCTCAGAATTGGACATTAGCATGTTAGCATTAGCCGCCCTGTTGGGTTGCGTAAAGGTTGCTGTATTTGGCTACCACAGACTGTGTCACACATACCTGATGTTAGCGCTCAGTAACATCTAACTGGACAGCCTGTTAGTCCAGTAACCTCACAGCCGACACGTTATTGGTCAGATGATGTCATTAAAAAGCTGCAACAGCACAAACACGGCGCAGAGGTCAAGTTCAGGGTTAGCTGAGGTGAAGTCAGACAGCTAGCAGCTACAGTCATGCTAAAAACACGTTTGTTTCTTCTGTAAAGTTTTAACAAAGGAGTCTATGGGTCACTGGTGGAGCCTCTAGTGGACGTGAGGGGAACTGCAGCTGGGCTGCAGCCTCGTTCTAACCTGTAACTCTCTGAATGTTAATAAAGTTTTTCCAGTTACGAGTCCTCTCAGCTGATTGTAAGCTTCTTGTCGTCTGTGCAGAGGATCGCAGAGCTGACGGGGAAGCCGATCACCTGGGAGAAGATCGAGGTTCCCCGGAGGAAGACTAGCTGCCTGCTGCACAGGCACAGCGGGCCGGACCCGCCCACCTTATACAGAGAGCCAATCGCCAGCCTCGCACAGGACAGCAGTCACACACTTTCCTCTGCACCAGCCAATCAGAAGACTCACACCAAGGAGCCCGCACTCTCCCTGCCCTTAGGGCCACATGCCCAGCTCAAGAGTCACGACCCCGATGACCTCTCCACCTGCAGCGACCTGGAGTCGGGCGTGGCCGACCTCAGCAGCCGCTCATCCAGCGGCGGTGATGTCGGCAAGGACCCGGACTTGGAGTGACACGGACCGGATCAAAGGGACTCCGCTGGCTTTTATTGATATTTATTCACAGGACGGCGAGGTGACGTTTTCAGGTTAAAGGGAGA